TGTTGGACTGGTCCTATTTTTCACTGTCTAGCACTTTTTAACAGCATCATCTCAGATGAACACTGCTAATACACTGGAACACACTGCAGTCAAGTCAGTATTAGCAGTCAAGACAGACTCAGGGAGTATAAAAAATATGCACTATACAGATAATGGTTCCAGAGATTGGAAGCAGTGCTTATGTCAAGTGTCAATGTAGAACCAGTGAAACATTTCCTGTGCTTATGGCACTGACCAAAAGAAGAAGCTGAACAGAAACTAAAAGTAAGAGTCCCTCATAAGCCCAGATGTTCTACCTTAGAGACACTGGCAACATATGCATTTAAGTATCAAACTGAGGAGGGACCAGATCAGCTTAGGACTAGGGGGACACAATGGGTATTTTTGCAGGCTTGGAGCCTACTTTGCATCAAGTACTTTTCAGCCTCAGCTGAAGGTCTGAACTTTGGTCCTTGTATTTTTAAGATATGAAGAAGGAGGAAATTACAAAAAAACCTCTCTGAAACCTTTCCCTTTTTCATCTCTCTCAATACTGTCATATGGTGCTATATCAAGGAATAGGATCATACTTCTCTTAAGATTATACTTCTGTCAGAAATTAAGGATATTAATCACCCATCTTCTGCAGCAAACATGAAAATTGAGTAATTAATGACAAGTTACAAGACTGGTTATTCTCCTCAGGCAGCCCTGGACATCTCTGTGTTTTCACTTTATATTTTGTCTGTTCTGTACTTTTATGTTTCATTTTGTATATAATTTTCCTCGAATCTGGATAACTGAATTTCATAACTCACTTTGATTACCTGAGGTAGTTCGAAAAACATTCAAAACGGTAAGGAAATAAAGCTGTCTTCTGACCACCCAGCCTTCTGCTGGCGCACGCTTCTCACAGCTGCAGCGGGGGAAGCAGTTCCAGGTTTCTATGCTTCTCTTTCATAAATCTTGAGAGGTTCCTGTTTTGATTTGGGGAGATGCTGACAGATGCTTTGCCCTTTGACACATGAGTTGGTTTATTTTATTCCTGGTACGATGGGGTAATCAGCAGTCATCCACACTCAGGGAACCTGAGAGGCATCTACTTCCTTTCCTGCCTGAGGTTGCCTGGTCTGTTGTTGATGCTCCTCAGCCTCTGCACAACACAATGAGTTTGAAAAGGCTATTGCAAATGTTTCCTGTGGATGCAATTCCTCACAGTGGCTTCCATGGGCCACCTTGTCTTCTCTACCCATTGCCTCATCTGAATTTCTCTAGATCGCAGACACATAGACCAGTTCTCCCACCTTCCGCCCAGCACTAGCCCTGAATCACTGCTACGCAGTACTTTGCCTGCAGGCCACTGTGAAACTGGGGCAATGCAGCAGAGGCCTGGAGCATGCTGTGTTAAATGGAGAGGCGTATTTAAGTGGGACAAAACTAGACTCGGTTTGCTGACTAAGTTAGTCAAGTCAAGAGACCTGCCACTTTGTAGTGCAAGGATTGCTAAAGTATAAAGGTTGTTGAGCATTATGAAATTAAAACGTTGTCCAGTGGCTGATCTGATACATAGCTGTAACTAGTGGAGTGCCCCAAGGGTCAG